CTACAAAGGGCAAGGGGAGAGAAACAGGCACTCAGAACACACAACAATGATAAGCTATGGGGAGAGAAATGAGATTTTTAGGATTTAAGTTCCAGTATGTTAGGACTGGTCTCTGTTACATTCACTGGTATATCCCTAGCACATGAAAAACAGCTGGCCTGTACCAGGTAGGTAATAAACATTTGCTGGATACACTGTTTCATATATTACATTCAACATCTTTATACTCTGACCACCAATTACTTAGTAGATAAAGAACTCAGATTCAAGAACTCAAAGCAAAAAGGGTAGAATTAAGGACCCTAAAAAGTCATAGTTTAAAAGAACAGGCACACAGACCTAATTACTGCCATAGAGACTCTGATAGCAGTGAAAGCACACGGTTGTGGAAAACTCCATCTTAATTTTAAGCTATTTCTCTTTCCTTTAATAACGAATTTATTAAGAAGACTGTTTCTAACTGACTGTGATTTCTCTTGGCTATCTAATGCCTGATACATATGAACTCAGAAAAATTGGTTGAAATGCATCCTCAACATGTACACTTTCCCAAATTTATCAGATCCTCAAATAAATATGTAGTAGAATTGAGCTGATACTGAAAGTCTAATTCAGTGAAAATATCTAAATGAATGTCTGTAGACACTGAGGTACAGATATAAAGTAATACATCCCTTCTTCAAAATCTTTGTTAAGAGGAATTGATTTATAACAGCAAATGACACAAAGTGACAGAACTACAGAAAATCCAATGGAGATAATTCATTAAACAATTTAAGGGCTGCCACTAGAGAACTGCTCCTAGGAGTCTTGGTGTTCTATCTGCTGTGTTCCTTGGAATTCTTTTAACCTAAGGGACTTTGGATCAACTGCAATTTCACTAAAATCAATGAACAGACAATTCGTGGAGGAAACAAAGCCATTATGAAAGAATGTATTTCTCTTTCTTGCAATTAGAGAAACGTGGCAGAATGTTATCATTTGCCCATTCTTACAAAACAACCAAGACCCCAAACATTATGTCTTTAAGTAATTTTATATGTTAACTACAAACTATTCATCACTTTCCTCTCTTGCATAATTCCTCCGCTCCACTGAAAAGCAGGGGGGCTGTATTTATCACTAATAATGCACCTAGAATCTTTACCAACTGTCTGATTTCCTTAGATAAACATTCTATAAATTTCACCTTCCAGAAATCTCTCCTGAGCCTTTGTCCTATTCAGTGTTGATGGAAGATCCTCTCAATCTTCCTTTCACTTGTTCTCAATTTCATGTCTTTCTTTTTGGTTTATATCCAGTTTTGATGGAGCATATCTTCCAAAAACTTACTGAGAAAGATATAGAAGTTGATTTCCAAGATCTTGCAACGCTAGAAAGTTAGAATTCTAAGTTGAATTAATTTTCTCTCACAAATCCTCAGTTTTGAATTAACTGCTCTACCGCTTCCAGCTTTCATGACTGTACTTGAGAGGTCTGCAGCCACTCTAAAGCCAGATCTGTAAGACTTTTATTCTTCGTCTCTTTGGAAGCTGTCAGACCTTTCCCTTATCCCAGGAGTTCAGAAGTTCCCTGGTGTTGTACCTTGATATGGGTATGTTTTCATTTGCTGTGCTGCCATCTTGATGGTTTCTTTCAAGCTGGAAACTCATGTCCTTCAGTTCTGGGATAGTTTCTTAAATTATCTTGTTATATTCATATTTTATTTTTAAAATAAGGTTTAACAAGTACATGCATATCATTCACACAGAAATATGCACAAATCTTATGTATCATTTGATAAACATTTCTAAGTCTATAGTGTTTATTAATGTTTAAAAGTAAGCCACTAAAATGCTGATGGCTAGTTCAATATTTTTTATAATGAATTGTGTAATTTAAGTCATCTTACAATTCAGCAGTATGAAAAATTTTGTCTCATTTGTCAGAGTAATATGCTCCCTTGACTATCAAAGATGACAATGACATTGTACAGAATTATTCATTTTGCTTTAGCTGCCAAGAAGCTCCACACTGAATATACTGCTTATCAGTGATTAATTTTCTTAGCCTAGATATTGTTGTATGTGTATGTTTCTTCTTGTTTGATCTTTTTCACTTTTATTGATCTAAATGTTTACATTTTTCTGAAACAAAGCATTGTAGCAAATGTTTTATACACACACACACACATCTGTAAATGCCTGGATACCTAGTGTCCCGCTGTCTTGAGAAAGGTTCTCTCGAATCTGGCACGGGAAAGTACCAAGATGAACTGGTGATATTCCATATAGACAATGGAAAGGAACCAGGCAGCATGTCATCTATTTCCAGCCCTATGCCAGGGGCTAAAGTGCTCCAAGTGTATAGTAATGAGGCATTTGAGAATTATGAAAGCCAGTTGATATTTAAACTGAATTTAGAAATGTAAGAGCAGCATTAATTGATAGAAAGGGTAAGCACTCCTGCCAAAAGCAGTGAAATATAAAATACATAATTCAATGCAAAGGAACATATTTATATATATTTGAATATAGAATAGTTTGGTTAAAGGATAAAATACACAAGAAAAAGAAAAAGGATATTCACATAATCTCAAAGTTATAACTTCACAGATAACTTATTAATTACAAAAAGGAAAAAGATTATTTGCTGGACAATAAACATACAAATCAAATCTAACACCAAAGATTAAACTTAAAACCACCTGTAATAGACTAAACTACTATAATGTGCCTCTTTATAGGACGCAATGATAAGGATATGCCATTCATACCAAAAATGTTTAATCTAAACCTGATTATGAGAAAACAATCAGAAAATTTTTCAAAGCATCTAGCCTGAACACTTCAAATATGTCAATTTTATGAAAGACAAAAAAATAGGGAAAATTTGTTCAAGATTGAAAGAAATTAAAGAGACATGACAACCAAATGCAACAAATGATCTTGTACTGGATCCTGGACTGGAATAGAAAAAGTACTTGTACATTATTGGAAGTACTGAAGAAATGTGACTGTATATTAGACACTAGTATTACATATTACATAAATATTAAGGTTTCTAAATGGGATAAGTGAGTTTAACTTATGTAAGACCACTGTCTTTTCTTAAAAGCAATTGCAGAAATACCATAATGCTGATGATTAACTCTTAAACTGTCCATCAGAAAAAAATATTATTTTTAAGGCTAGGTGCCCATGCTCAGTGGTTATGGCGCCACTACATGCACTGGGGCTGCTGGGCTCAAAGGAACATATTTATATATATTTGAATATAGATTAGTTTGGTTAAAGGATAAAATACACAAGAAAAAAATAATGAGAACTACAACAAAACTACATCCTGGGCCTGCTAAACAACGACAACTACAACAAAAAAACAGCTGGTTGTTGTGGCAGGCACCTGTAGTCCCAGCTACTTGGGAGGCTAATGCAAGAGACTCACTTAAGCCCAAGAGTTGGAGGTTGCTGTGAGCTGTGACACCATGGCACTCTACTGAGGGCAACAGGGAGTGAAACTCTGTCTCAAAAAAAAAAAAAAAAAGAACAAAAAAAATTTTTTTAAATATGTAAAACTAGACACGTGTGTGTTTTTCATGGAAACACAAAAAGAAGAGAATGTGGCAAAACTTGGTGAAGAGCATTCAAATATTCCCTTGTCCTATCTTCCAATTTTTCTTAAGTCTTGAAATGAAAAAAAAAAAAAAAGAAGAAGAAGAAGAAGAAGAAGAAGAGGTCCTGTGTAATCTGGGTCAAATTCTACAAATTAAACTGAAAGCTACAAAATTTTATTTTGACATGTTCACTCAGCTAGATCACAGCACATGCATAACTAAAGTTCCTGTTGATTTATTTTCTAGTCCAGCCCTCTTTCAATTATCTCACAGTCTCAAGCCTAATCATACAGGACAAATCAGAACAAGGAATGCCTAGAGGTAGGAAACTGGGTACCATCTCAGCTGTTGTTAGGGTCGGGATTAGTGTCAACTGCAGATATGGAAAGAAGGGAGCAATGTGAAAAAGCAATATAAAAGAAAGTAGCAAGAAGACTCAATGATACACTAGAAGAAGACGACACAAATGACTGATATATAAAGATGAAAAGATGGGAAAATAACAGTACTGGGGATAATACAAGAAAACCTGGAATAAGATGGAGATTTAGGATAAGAAACTTAGTTTGAGATATGTGTATTTCCATTGTAATGTACCAATGTAAACTATAAGTATGCTAGAATGTAAAATCCAGGAGGGTAGAATTTTTGTCCCTTTGGTCTGCTGACTTGTATAGTGCCTGGTTATAAACGTTTATTAAACAAATGAAGTGTTTATGAGGCATTCAGGTGCAGATACACAAGAAACAGTAATTAAGAAATTTAAGAGACAGTACAAAAAACTATTACTTTGTAGGTCTTTAGGGAAGTGAACAGGTTTCTAGTCTCCACCTTCTTCCAGGTTTTTACAGGGGTTCCAAGTATAATTCCAAATAATAAAGTTCTCTTTTTTCTTTTTCATCATTTCCTTTATGTTTATCTTTATAGGAAACCTCACTGGGATGGGCATAGATATAATTTATACATTATACACACACACATATATATATAATTTAGTATCATCAAAACTCCATGATTACTCTTAACAAATTTCAATAGCTAGAACAAGGAGCTGAGGTGTTAGTATCACCTGGGAACTTGTTAGAAATGCAAATTCTTAGGCTCCATCCCAGATCTACTGAAGCTCTATGAACATGGGCCCAGATAAGAAGCTTTCCAGGTGATTTTAAAAGTACCAAATACTAAACTGATAAACTATCTACCTTGTAGTCTAAGACATTTTTCTTGAGAAGCAACTAAAAATTTCCATTACAAATATCTTTTTAAAAATAGAGATATTTGTAATGAAGTATACAAGTATATTTATGTTATATGTAACATAATCATATAGTTATAGTTCATCATCTAACGATCACACAGAAAAACTAGGCTACAATTAAATAATTTTTAAAAGTTATCTACTTACTTTAATGTTTCAGCAAGAAAGAAGCTCTGCTGTACATCATCATGTGTAGGAACAGAGGAATATACATCCTTGATCCCAGAAAATCCACCAGTGACTCGGCAATACTTTTCAATGGCCTACAAAAAAGATCAGACAAAACAATCAATTTCATGGTATTTCAAGTTTTTGAAAGAATGAAACTTTAAAGGACAATAGTAAAAAATTCACAGAGATCTATATGAAAATTTAATGGTTTAATATCTTATAAAAAGGAAATAATCTCATATTGGAAATATTAACTCAATTAACCAGAAACAGGATGCCTCCTATGGAATTTCTTCTTCTCCAAAACTCTTTAATCTTTCTAAAACATCTTTCATTTTTTTAACTTAGAAATCAAATTTGAATTATTCTAAATTAGGGAATTTGTCTGGCTCAATAAAGTCTCATTAATTCTGACAAGTCAGGATGGAAGTTAGTTTGCATTAAAAATGTGAATTGCAACTTTGTCACTTTCAAGGACAATAATAATCTACAACATGCTAAAAAGGTGATACAAGCTCTCTACAGTAATAGCAAAGAGAGAAAATGTACGAAACATTGTACTAGTATAATACCATGAGCTATGCATTGTAGGTGGGACCTATGGGCAGGAAGAGCCCACCTACACACCTACTGTAACAATAACTATAGTATTAATTAAGAGCTAACAACTACAAAATATTTACTATGCAGATGGTTTTTCTATGAACTTTATGTACTAAAATATGTTAATATATGTTAAATTTCATTCCCTATCAGGTTAATCTACTTTTCAGAAAAGAAATTTGCTCTAATTATTAACTACAGTGCTATAGTGCTTGACTGAGAGTTAAAATTCTTAATTTACATCTCTTTTTTGGGAGCAGAGGAGGTCAAACTCTTTGCTGACGATATGACCTTATACGTAGAGAGCCCCTAACCATAAGTCAACCATGAGACTCCTGGAAGTCATCAAAAAATATGGTAATGTCTCAGGATATAAAGTCAAAGTCCACAAGTAAGTAGCCTTTGTATACGCCAACAACAGCCAAGATGAGAGGCTAATTAAGGATACAATTCCCTTCAGCAAAGGGTCAGAAAACCTAAAATCCTAGGAATATACCCAACACAAGAGATGAAGAGCCTCTATAAAGAAAATTATGAAACCCTAAGAAAGGGAATAGCAGAGGATATTAACAAATGGAAGAACATACCATGCTCATGGCTGGGAAGAATCAACATTGTTACAATATCCATACTTCCCAAAGCAATCTACAGCTTCAATGCCATCCCTATTAAAATACCAGCATCGTACTTTCAAGACTTGGAAAAAATGATTCTGCATTTTGTATGGAACCAGAAAAAAAACCTGTACAGTTAAGGCAGTTCTTAGTAATAAAAACAAAGCCAGAGGCATCAGCATACCAGATTTTAGGCTGTAGTACAAGCCCATAGTGGTCAAGACAGCATGGTATTGGCACAAAAATAGAGACATAGACATTTGGAATCGAATAGAAAACCAAGAAATGAAACTAACACCTTATAACCACCTAATCTTCGATAAACCAAACAAGAACAAACACTGGGAACATTCCAATTTGTACAAATAATCAACACACTGAATCCCACAAAGGCATAAATGTATTCATGATCTGTCTATATATGACTTAATAAAGAAAAAAAAGAACATACACTGGGGGAAAGAATCCCTATTCAATAAATGGTGCTGGGAGAACTGGATAGCCCATGTAAAAGACTGAAACTGAACCCACACCTTTCTCCACTCACAAAAATTGATTCAAGATAGATAAGGGAGTTAAATTTAAGTCATGAACAATAAAAATCCTCAAAGAAAACAGAGGAAAGATATGGGCCTGGGGAAAGACTTCATGAAGAAGACTGCCACGGCAATTGCAACAACAAAAAAAATAAACAAATGGGACTTAATTAAATTTAAAAACTACTGTACAGCTAAGGAGACAACAACCAAAGCAAACAGACCACCTACACAATGGGAAAGGATATTTGGATATTCTGAATCAGACAAAAGCTTGATAACTAGGATCTATAAAGAACTCAAATTAATCCACATGAAAAAAAGCCAATAATCCCATATATCAGTAGGCAAGAGACATGAATAGAACCTTCTCTAAAGAACACAGACAAATGGCTAGCAAAGATATGAAAAAATGCTCACTGTCCCTAATTATTAGAGAAATGCAAATCAAAGCCACCCTGAGATACCATCTAACCCCAGTGAGAATGGCCCACATCACAAAATCTCAAAACTGTAGATGCTGGCGTGAATGTGGAGAAAAAGGAACACCTTTACACTGCTAGTGGGACTGCAAACAACCTTTTTGGAAGGAAGTATTGAGAACCCTCAAAGAACTCAAGCTAGACCTCCCATTTGATCCTGCAATCCCATTACTGGGCATCTACCCAGAAGGAAAAAAATCCTTTTATCATGAGGACACTTGCACTAGACTGTTTATTGCAGCTCAATTTACAATTGCCAAAATGTGGAAACAGCCTAAATGCCCACCAACCCAGGAATGG